GTGGGCTCCGCCGGAGCCCCCGCCTTTGGGGGCTCCCTGGGGCTGGGGGGCCTCTACGGCGCCGGGGCCACCCAGGGCTCGGGGGGCCTCTGCACCTTTGGCAGAGCTCCCGCCTGCAGCCCTTGTGTCCTGCCCCGCTCCTCCAGGAGGATCTGGGGCACCTGCGGGCCCTGCTAAAGCCTCACCCAACAGCCAGGGAGCCCTTTGGGTGCTTCAGCATTGAGCCTTCTGTCTTTTCTCCTCTCCTTGCCCTCTCCTCATGAATCCTCCCCCATTTGTTTCCCAATGAGAGCCTCCCTGCCCTTGCAATAAAATAATCGTGCATCCAACATCTGCCTCTCTGTTTTCCTGTTATTACTCAGAAAGGGGGGGCACAGTTTCCTTGACCTGCACATGGCCCTGACCCGACTGGCTTGGGCAGTGTCTCCTCCCCATCAGAGCCAGGCAGAGTTGCCTTTGCACAGACTCCACAACCCTGGCAGCTCTCACCACACATGGTGTTGCAACTGAGTTCCAAGGACCATTCCTGTAGGCAGGAACATCATGGTCTGCAGGGTCTTTACCTTTTCTTCTTGTCCTTCTGTGATAGTTTTAATCTAGGCCTTCCTGGCAACCAGCTCGTAGCCAAGGAAGTGGCGATTTTCCCAGTATTCCATAAGATTTTTTTGTAAACCAGGGTATAAATCAGAAGGGAGAGAAGCCTCTTCCCTCTTCTCTTCTGGTGGATCTCCAGGTGCAGGTTCTCTGCCGTCAGTTCTGCCCGTGTGCAGGAGTGAGGCCTAGTGAGGCCTTGTAGGCCTTGGGAGGCTCAGGGTACCTAACGGTGTTTGGTGCCATTCTGCTATCTCAGGGAGAGTTGTAAGATTTCCTTTGATTAGTCCCTTATTAAGTTGTTCCCGGGTTTCAATTGTGCATATCAATTTTAGTTTCCTTTTTCTCCCTTTTTCCCTTTTCCCTGTCCCTTTTAGGGGGTGTTTGGGGGCCCTTTGCTATATACTTTGTATTTTAATAGTAAATAACTGTGATATATGTAAAAATATATATTTTGCTATAATTATTTGGCTTTGGGATTCATCAGTTTATATAGTTATTTTTTTCCTTTCCCCTGAGCAAAGAGGGGAGAGGGAGGTTCTCGTTGTGGGTTTGGGCATCTTGCTGGGAACCAGTTCTAAACTGTCACACCTTCTTATCCTTTTCAGTCTTCTTTCCTTGCTCTCTTTCTACTCCCTCCCCTTTACCTGTCCTTCTGAGTAACAACAGGAAAACAGAGAGGCAGATGTTGGATGCAAAGTCATTTTATTGCAAGGTCAGGGAGGCTCTCATTGACAAAGGACTGGGGGAGGATTCATGAGGAGAGGGGAAGGAGAAAAGACAGAAGGCTCAATGCTGAAGCACCCAAAGGGCTCCCTGGCTGTTGGGTGAGGCTTTAGCAGGGCCCGCAGGTGTCCCAGATCCTCCTGGAGGAGCGGGGCAGGACACAAGGGCTGCAGGTGGGAGCTCTGCCAAAGGTGCAGAGGCCCCCCGAGCCCTGGGTGGCCCCGGCGCCGTAGAGGCCCCCCAGCCCCAGGGAGCCCCCAAAGGCGGGGGCTCCGGCGGAGCCCACCACGGCTTGCTGGGGGAAGGAGCTGAGGATGGGGCCGGGGAAGGTGACCACCACGGGGGGCGGCTGGATGAAGGCCGT